AACATATATTTTCTTAGTAAATGCAACCAAATCCAAATTTGACGCGCGTTTCGATTCAATGATTTTAGGGCGGGTACATCGGGTTGCTTTGGAAATATAAGGATTTTAGGGCAAGCTATATTTCTGCTGGATTTGCCATTATTTTGTAGGTTGCTTGTTGATCCCAACATTAGGTCACATGGGCACATGGGAAGTGTTCCTTACCTGCCCGCAATCTCAAGCTTTTTGTGGGCTCTAGCTTCCTCTTAGATCCATTAGAGAAAACTAGAGTCAGATGGTACCACTCATTGCCAAAATTAACACAAATTATGCTTTCTTAATTTATATTCCTTGTGTCTGGAATAAGTGGTTTGTCACTAATCTTTTAGTGAAAATATCACTTCAGGTTGGATATTAGATAGGGAATCTCCTTCCCCTATAGTATAGGAGGTATATTTGTAAAATTGTTCAAAAATAAATTTATATATATAAGATTAATACATATCAGTTTCGATTTTTTTTAAAAATTGAAATCTTAATTTATATTTTAAAACTAAAACCTCAATTTAAAATTTAAAAATTCACTTTATTAAATATTGATATCTAAATTTGAAAATTGAATATATATTATAATATAATCAGTTTCTAAATCTAAATATTAATATTTAATAAAATAAATTTTTAAATTTTAAATTAAGTTTTAATTAAATAAAACAATATAATTTAATGTTAAAATTTCAATTTATTTAAAAGTTTGAAATTGATATACACTTTTCTTTATAGGTATATATGTATATAGATAACTTTTTTTTAAGCTAAGAATATCTCTACATCTATTTATTAAATGATACATTTTTTTAGTTTAATATATTTATAAGAGAAATTATTATTTTATAATATAAAAATAAAAATTAATAAATTTAAAATATAATAATACATATAACATATTAATTATATCTTATCCAAAAAAAAAACATATTAATTATATTTGTTTTATATTTTAACTATTAAACTGAATAAATATCCAAAAAAAAAGTATGTTAAACTAAATAATAGTTTTAATTATTTTTCACACATATACATGAACGCGTTGGATGGGGGTAACCCTGCAGCGGGTCAATTAATGTACAGTGAGGTAACACGTGAAGGGATACCATGCATGATACATCCCATGCAAATACAGCTATTCGACATTACTCTGCCACCGCTTGATGTTCATCACACGGCTTCTAGCTCTATCATATGGTCCCTCTGGAGGTTCACATGTGTGTGTTAATTAAATTTTAGACCCACTTCAGCTAGAGCCAAAAAAATGGTATCAGATTCACGTAATTACGTTGTTTTGTGTGTTGGATGCTAGTACTCAGTTTTAACCCCGTGCTCAATTTTACTGGGGATTAAATTGAGATAAGTTTAGTTTGTCTGTGTTTTTTATGGTATTAATCTTAATTATGTTAAAGAAACAGGGGAAATTTATCTGTAAATGTTGCATATGTGTTTTTTTGAGCAATTTCTGGCGTCCTTTTGTTTGATTTTGGAAGCTTATTCCGTTTTAAAGTTTGTTTTTTTTTCCCTTTTCTTGCACCATCTACTCTGGAGTATATATAGAATGACAATAATACATATACCTTATAAAATTACATATTTTGAACTATCAATGTATAATAGAAATCGTCAATTTTAATGATATAAATAATAAAACTATTAATGTATAAAAAAATGTGTAATTTTATAAGATGTACGCACAATTTTTGATATATAATATTGTTTCCAAATGCGTCTGCATAATTATTACTTTTATTAGCATATTTTGTCTGGAAACAAGGTTTATGTACTCGAACATGACAATCGAAGTCGATTCTTTATTATTTGGTTAAAACTCCTTTTTGGTTCCTAAACTATTGTACGGACCCTTGATTTGGTCTCTAAACTAAAAAAATCCTTGATTTAGTCTTTACTGCTGTTTACCATTTTTACCCCGATTTGGTCCTTCCGTCAAATATCAACCTATGTGTCCTGTTACTTGACGGGGAAAATGATGACCTGTTAAAGCATTTTGACACCTAGGATGTACAGTGTGAAAAAAAATGAGATGGCAAGAAAAAAATCTTAAAAATGTTCTTATTATTATTTTTTTCTTCATTTGTTTTTCCTTTTTCCCTTTCTTCTTCCTCTCCCTTTCCTTTAACCTTCTGCAAACCGTAATTCCTAATATTAAATTCGAGGATAACACAACAAATCAATAGATTAAACTCAATAGATATTTGACCAAACGGCTGCTGGGTTCGAAACGAAACCAGAGCTTACTTGCAGGAACTCAGCAGCTGCTCAAACCCAATGCCTGCTGGGTTCGATTTCGAACCCATCACCTGCAAATGAATCCAACACCTGCAAAAACCTAGCATTCGAAATTGAAAAATTGAACCCAGCATCGAACCCAACACCTAACACCTGCAGTAATGCCTTCTTCATCTTCATCAATCAATTTCTTCATCACAATCAAACAACAAAATCCAAAAAACAAAAACAGAAATTTTTTTAAAAAAAAATTTTTGCACCTGGGTTCACAAGGAACCCAAGCGTGCTGGGTTTGTAGGAACCCAAACGCGAACCTAGCACGCTTGGGCGTTGGGTTCTGGGTTCGCAAGGAACCGAACCCAAGCGTGCTTGGTTCCACCAAACCCAGGCATGCTGGGTTCGGTGCAAACCCAGACGTGAACCCAACACCAAACGCGAACCCAGCACGCTTGGGTTCCTTGCGAACCCAGGCGCTAGGTTCACAAGGAACCGAACCTAAGCGTGCTGGGTTCCATCGAACCAGGCAAGCGTGCTGGGTTCCATTGAACCCAGGCAAGCGTGCTGGGTTCGGT